CAAAAAAAAAAAAAAAAAAAAAAATCTGACCAGGGTGAAAAATAAATATACAGGTGATGATGCATAGCATTAAGAAGCAATCCCTTATCAGAAGCAAAATAGAGTTAACAAGCACTACTCACATCATAAGAAGGAAATCGAGTGCCAGATAGCAGAGGACTTTTTGAATGTTCCCCCTCACCTGAAAAAAGAGGAGAGGGGAACATAAATGCAAGTACGCAACATTGAAGCGCGTGCACTAAATGAGCAAAGCTGTGTAGTGTGGAATCATATATGAGGCTTGTCGACAGATGTCAAACCGTTTACTTAGAATAAGATAAGTAATGGGCAAAAAGACAAAATTTGGAGGACTCTCATACTCCCTTGCGTGAAACATATCTTGATTTATTCATATACAACTACAGATTTCAGACGCTACTGTTGCTCAGTACAGATCTGGAAGCTGTTGTAAAATCAGTCTTTGAAGAACTATCAAGAATGGGAGCTGGATAAGTTAAGTAGATTGGAGGAGCGGAGCTGGGGCAATGAAGGTAAAAATTCTCTAAGATGGACAATGACAGTAAGGGTACTTTTACAGTTGAGTCAGGCTACAGAAACTTTGAGTCTCTACTAGGAATGCGGATTGACCATTGAAGTTAATTTGGAAAACCAGAATTCGCCTCAAGAGTAGCATGTTTTGGTTGAATTGCGGAACATGAGACCTGTCTTACTCATGACTCGTGATAATTTGATGAAGAGAGAGTTTCCACTCACAATTCATGATAATTAAATTTGTTAATCATCTTTTTCTTCACTATTCAGTAGTAAGTCAGATGCCGTACTTGTCTCAACTTGCTCAGCTTAAAGTTGGAAATGCCTAAAGACTTAAAACAATCCTTATGGCATGGGGCTGAAAAGGGGGAAAAGTGCAGAACAGCCAAAACATCTAGGAAGCAATTCATTGATGCATCTTTTGTGTTATTGCCGAGGGTCTATCGGAAACAGCCTCTCTACCTTCACAAGGTAGGGGTAAGGTATGCGTACACATTACCCTACCCAGACCCCACCTGTGGGATTACACTGGGTTTGTTGTTGTTATTGTTGTTGTGGAATGAAAAATTCAGAGGATTTTTAAAGACAGAAAGCAGGCAGGCAGCAAATGAAGTCTTGTCTTTGTTTTTTTCCCTTTCAGCGTAAAATGAGGAGATATTCAGTTTAGACGCTGTGCTGGAATTGAGTTATAATATAAGCCACAGATCTCGAATTCTTTTCTGAAGTTCAAGTGTGATATCAATGCATGGCAATCCTTCTTAAGTCGTTTTAAATGCTCTTCCGATAGATCAAAGTACGTAACCCACATGATAACCTCAATTCAAGACCAGCAATTTTGAAAGACCAGATATGATTATCTACATGCATAGCAAAAAACCGTTCACCAAATGAACATTTTATTGGCAAGTATAAGGTCGAAAACAATAGCGTCCTATCTGAACCAATAAATATATTATTCGTTAAATGGAGAAGAAACTTCAATCTTGAATCTACCTCGTAGTCTTCTTTAAATATTTACTTATTTTCTGATACATTAACCGATATCCAGCTCCAAGTCATATGATTGACTAAATTATGAAATACCTTTCAAGTGTACAGATTTACTGCAAAATTCTGTCTCATGGGAAAGGAAAAAAAAACAATTTGCAGAAGCACAGATGCACTCTCACTTCACTTGGAAACAACACTAACTCTTCATGAAACTGTAGGATGTTTTTCTTTTACAGGGAAATAGACAACCAAATTACTAATTCATCATCCTACTTTCTCCCTTTTTTACTTGGGAGTGATGTGAGGTTCTTTTCTTTTTCCCTCTCCAGGGGAGGGAAATGTTACTTAATTAGCAGAAGTATCAGGTTGGAGCTTGAAATGGTGTCAATGCCACATAAAGAGAAGGTCTGTCAATGGAGAAGATTTTGACAGATTCCTATACTATGAGTAAACATTTTACTAAAAATAATTCATTTGGTGGAATTACAAAGCACAATAGAGGAAAGCTTTCCCCTTTTGGAGTCTGAACAAAGATAGAACTACAATAAAACAACGACGACAACATCTCAATCCCAAACAAGTTGTATTTAACCATATATATATGAATCTTATGCATCTATTCTATTGTATAAAGCAAAAGCTACAATACAAAGATAAAAGTCAATAAGAGGAAAACCTGATAAAGTACCACAGATAAAAGCTTTTCACCTTTTGGACTCTGAACAATGAAAACTACTACAATAACTACACCTCAATCCCAAACTAGTAGGAGTCAGCCATATGAATCCAATGTATGTATTCCACCTTATAAAGCAAAAACTACAATACAAGAATAAAAACTAACCTGTGGGGAAAAAGGCAAGCAGCTACACCATTTTGGAGGCGGATCTCAGCAGCTTCAGCAGCAGCCACAGAAGGAAGAATAACATGTGTTGTAAGCAGCAGATTCCGGTGGATCAAGAAACCAGTGCCACTTGCACCTATAAGAGCCATAGCAGGACCTTTGCTTGAAAAAATGGTACCTTTCATTTTCTCAGACTTGCCACCCCCATTACAAAAACACCAAGATTCTACTAAACCCACCATTTTTATAGCTTTAATTCAAATGGGGCTCTTTTAAATCAAGAATAAATTGTAACTTTAAATCCAGAACAGAGGCTGAAATTGCATTTTAGCTGAAAATGCCACCTCCATTAGAGATAAACCAAGATTCTACTAAACCCACCACTATTGCAGCTTCAATTCAAATGGGGTTCTTTTAATTCAAGAAAATATTGTAACTTTGAATCCAGAATTGAAGCTGAAATAGCATTTTAGCTCAAAATAATACCACCATTACAGAAACACCAAGATTCTACTAAACCCACCATTTTTATTGCTTTAATTCAAATGGGGGTCTTTTAAATCAAGGAAAGGTTACAACTTTAGATCCAGAATTAAAGCTGAAATAGCATTTTAGCTCGAAATATCACCCCCATTACAGAAACACCAAGATTCTACAAAACCCACCATTTTTACAGCTTTAATTCAAATGGGGTTCTTTTAAATCAAGAAAAGATTATAACTTTAGATCCAGAATTGAAGCTTAAATTGCATTTTAGCTCAAAATGTTTGTGGCATCTGCCAGGTAGCTTCACATAAGTCTATAATTAAGGGGTGTGGTAACTATCATCGAAATAATAGATATAGATACAGAAAGAAAGAGAGTTTATTGCAGAGAAATGGGGAACATGTAGCTCAAAATATGCTTAAAAAGGGATTTTTTAAACCCGAAATATAGGGGAAAATGTAAATTTCCTGTCAGAGAGAGAAAGCACAGGGATATGCAGGAGACAGGAAACTGCAGACATGGAAAGTCTTTTTTTTAAATTATTTCCTTTGTTCAAATTTTTAGAATAAGCAAAAAAATATTTGCATAAGCAAAAAGATTGAATTAGTTAAATAATCACAGAATGAAACATAAGTGATGGTAACATAATATACTATTGTGCAGCTTCTTTTTTCTGCCTACCTTTTTCAGAATTACTATTATTTTGGTGCATTTACGTTTTTCACGTTTGTGTCTTCCTCTTTCTTTCTAACATTTTCCCACTCAACCCCCACCGTCAACAATTTCCAAGGAAAACACTGTATATTGTTGCCAATGTTGTAGAAAAGAAAAGGATAAACTCCAAAAAAAAAAAAGGAGAACGAGATGATAATAAATTAGATATGAGGATCAACCTTTTAAAATATCCCATATGAAAATAGATTCTTTTTTTATTCCATCTTTGTGAACTTAATATTTTTTAATTAAGATTCAAGTTATATTTGTGATTTTTGGTTTTAACAATTTCAATAATGAGAAAGTAATTTCATAAGGTGAGAATATAAGAAAAATGACACTATATAATTATTCTCAAAATAATAGTCGAAAAAATATTTTTTTAATCAATATATATTCTATGTTAAATATAAATTTTATACGTTTTTTCGACTATCAAATATATATAATTTCTAGCACTGGCTAAAAATATATTTAGGAGCCCTAGTAATATACTCCAGCTAGACCCACTAACACCAATTGTTATGAACGTGGTATCCGTTAAACGTCTTGTTCATACTTAATTTGCAAGTGTAGACTGAATGAGGAATTGTAAAATTGGTACACATTATTGGTTCATGTGTGACGTGCATGATAATGATTGTTCATCGTTAAATTTTTGTAGTTGAAAATTGAAAAAAATAAGCTAACAAGTACAAAAGATAAGGAATGACTCCTATTCTTTTCCTATTCTTTTAGGTCACGCAAAAATAATCTTTGAACAAAAATTTAATACAGTCTTATCTCTTATTTTGTTACTGATCCTGAAATAAGTTATCCCAATATTAAAAATAATACCGGAATAACCTATATCTATCCTAGAGTGGAATAATAATCTCAGGATAAAACATTAAAATTGATAATCCAAAAATTAATATAACATATTAAATAGTCAATAAGAAATAATACCAAAATAACTAATCATAGTACAACGAATCACATCATAACTTGTGTTCAAACCAAACAACCCCTAATTAAAGTTTAAAAATGAAACTCTATGATATGTAGGACGGTTCTTCCTTACTTTAGAAAAACTTTCAAAAATGACGCAAAACGTCCAAACGTCGTAACCATTTAACAAATCACATGTAAGAGCCCTATCTGTCAATGATTCATTAAAATTGATCGATTCCAACAGCTCAATTCCACATTGAACGTTGCCCAAACCACCTTCTTTCACATGCAAGGCTTGCTCCAACTAATTTTCCCTCTCTTATTCTACTCTTAATTTGACTCTCTAAGAAAAGATAGGGACACGTAGAGGAAAAATATTGCAGTAGAAATTTTTCTTTCAGAAATCTTTCCTTCTTCCTTCACCTTTGTGTCTTTTTCCTTTCATAAAATTTCTATTACATTGAGGGATTAGGAAGAGAAAAAGAAAAGTGCACAGCAAAAATTGAACAGACACCTACTGTGTTCAACATAATACTGTTTACTAGTTTCTTGGAATGTCACTTTAACGAGTTACAAGATTCGAAAGTCTTCACTCCATATGGGAACATTTTAACTACCTCCTTCCAACTAGAAAGAGGAAACAGACAAAAGGAGAAACATTCTAGGTATAAACACTTGCTAAGCTCAATCTCATTACTTCAGGAAATTTCAAGTGCCCTCAGATTTCTCCAATGCTGCCACCAAAAAAAAAATGATCATGTTAGCATCAAATTCAGCTTCTCTTAACAAGTATTGAGAAGCGATCAACCAAATGCAGCATCTTGGAAGATGGAAATATCAAGAATATTATATAAAGTTTAGCAGCTAGAGTAGATATAGATGAACAAGTAAGTTCGTCATAGGACCTAAAAAAAGTCACTCAAGTTTGTCATTGGTGGAAACATACAGGTAAAACCATTAACTAATAGTTTTATCTGGTTTTCCCAGGTTCACCTCTCTGCGGAATATGAGTATAGTTTTTCTAAGGCAAAATACATAGTTTACTCATCGACGTTGCAGCGAAATCCCTATTACACACCTTTCGTTCACAAAAAACCTTTCACACTCAACCTTTCAAACTCAACCTTTCAAAAGTGTGCCTAAGACACACCACTTTTGTGCTTGACCAATTTTTCAGATAACGTGAAAGTCACGCCCTAATAGGGTCGTGACACATGTCATTGACTTTAAAAAGGAAAAAATATATTAGAAATTACAATTAAAAACCATCTTCTTCTTCTCGTTTTCTATCTTAAACACCATTGTTGGTGTCTGCTGCCACCATGGTTGTTTGTGAGAAAGTTTCCAACACCAAAATTCACTATCTAAACAACTAGCCGAAAATAATCGAGCAACAAATTGAGTTCGACAACCCAATAATCAACAAGACCTAATTAAATTTTCAAGCTTTTTTCATACCCCAACAATGGTGAATTCTAGATTTTTTCACCAAACATTCAATATTATTGTTAAAGCTTTTAAATCTATCACAAATAAATGGTTTTCACAATATTTGGACAATAAAACAACAAAAACCGCTCAATTTTAGATTTAAAATTTTATGTTCTTTCAAAAATTCTATTTGGGGAAGAAGATGAGGGAGAGGGTGGTCTGAGGAAGAAAATCAGAGGGAGGGGGAGGGGTTCATGTGGGGAGGGGAGACAAAAAAATGGGATTTTTTACGCGCTTCCCGCGCTTTTTTTGGGTGTAAACACGCAAGTGCTATCTGGTCAAAAGTAGTGTATCCCAGACACAATTTTGAAAGGTTAAGTGTGTAAACGGTTTTCCGTGAAGTAGAAGTGTGTAACAGATATTTTGCTGCAAGGTTGATGGGTAAACTATGTATTTTGCCTTTTTCTAATTGTTCTTTTGATGAGTGCATCAGGTAACCATGTGGTTAGCATTTCCATATTGGCTTGGTCTTAAGTAGCATCTTAGTCTACTTTGTTGAGGTGATGCTGACTGCATAATAGGGGTAGCACAATTTCCAAATGTCCAGTCAAGGCACATATTTATAGGAAGTTCTATGGTGCTACTGCTATAGATAGATCGACTGACTGCCTAATGGAAGTGCACGACAGTCCGTGGTCATGATTATTGATTTGGTGCTCCCTTGATAAGATGAAGGGGAATGGTGAAATGACCTCCTACTCTGGAGCTACGCTTCTATCATGCAACACAATAACTCTATATGGAAATGCTAATCTACACAGGTAATCAATCAATTCGACAGAGGGCTGCGAGTTATTCTAAGAAGAGGTTCTATCTGCTGAATACATGATTAAGAAAGGAGAATAAGTCAGGAACAAGTAGTTTATTCACCATTAGTGGTATCAAAATATTCAGCAACTGAAAGTGAGTGTAACTCTTCGAGCTCACATGAAGAATTATGTCCACAAAGTAATCTTTCACCTTAATGCAAGAAACAATAGAGCTAATTGCTTGAGAATTTTACATGTAATTATTATGACAGCCATCTTTATTGATACTGCACAATATCCTAAACCAATTCTAATGCGTTCAACCGCAGACCTCTAAGACACCTTACAAGATTAACAAGGATACATTTATTAAATAAATATAACCCTATACAATTGGCATTATAGGCTAAGTACACATTTATGCTCCAATATCAAGCCAAACGATTTGTAGCCACAGATAGTCGATGGACCAAAAGTTCTTATTTCAAGCATACTATGCTATAGCCTGTTTGGCCAAGCTTCTTTTGAGGCAAAAGTGCTTATTTTTTGTCAAAAGTGCTTTTTTCTAAAATTAAGGTGTTTGGCCAAGCTTTTGAAAGGAAAAAAAGTGTTTTTGAGGAGAAGCGAAAGCAGTTTTGGAGAAGCAAAAAAAAAGAAGTAGAAGCACTTTTTTGATAAGCACTTTTGAGAAAATTACACTTAAAAGCAGTTTTTTAAAGCTTGGCCAAACACTAATTGCTGCTCAGAAGTGCTTTTCAAATTAATTAACCAAACACAAACTGCTTCTCACCAAAAGCACTTTTTGAGAAAAATACTTTTGAGAAAAAGCACTTCTCAAAATAAGCTAATTTTTGAAGCTTGGCCAAACGGGCTATTAATCTACTTCTCACAACATCATATGTATTTACAAAGAGGGAGAGAAGAGGGTAGTACTGTTGTAGTTGAGAAGCTTCTCAATGAGGTCAACGTGTGTCATCAGCATTCTACGACAGCAATATCGAACCAAATTCAGTGCATCAAGAGCATCCCTACAGAAAGAGATAATACATATTGAGAGATCCGTGAGAATATCACTGAAAGTAAAAAGGATTTTATAGGGTTCTGCCAGTTTCTTTCTGAAGCAAACAATTGGCGAATGGTTTTGTATAATTCTGCCTATGCAAAAGCAGATCCAAGATTTGAACTTTATGGGTTCAAGTTCAAATATCTACCACAGTCCATTTGATTTATTGGGTTCGAAAATTTACTTAATTAGTGTTTCTTAACACATGCTTATGCTTTCCTAAGTTGAGGGTCTATTGGAAACAGCCTAGCCTAAGGTAGGGGTAAGGTCTGCGTACACACAATCCCTCCCCACACAATCCCTCCCCAGACCCCACGGTGTGGGATAATACTGGGTATGTTGTTGTTGTTGTAACACATATACAAGGTTTGAGCCAAAACCACTGGACTGAGTGAACCCATAACATTAAGACTACATCCGCTCCTATGCATATGTAAGATTTACATCCTAAAGCTTCACATTCTCTGTCACAAGCCCGGAAATGTTGACTAACGATGTAAAAAATAGTCCAATTATCAACTCGTTTGGGATTGAGAGGTCGTTGCTCCCTATTTTCAGCTGGATTATCAAAAGTTTTCACTTTTAATAAATTATTCTTCCACAATAGGAAACTATTGGACCAATTTGCGGAGCCATTAAAAGACCCATTGGCATTTATTTTGGGGGGATTNGCTTGGAGAAGATCAAGATATTCATCCCATTTGTTTCCAATGACCTAAACATGTAAAAGAACAACCAATTTTGAACAAAATCAGTTCCGCAAAATTAATTACTCGAAAATAATAAGTGAAAGTCAGCTTCTTTTCCTCGGAAAATATATAAAGAACAGGCAAATTCTTTCGTTTCCTCTGAAATAATGAAGAATACGAAGCAAAATTACCTTGCCGCAAGTGAAACAACGCACCGGAATGATCATCTTGCCAAAACCCTAGTTGAAGGTCTGAACTTCGAAGTTCGAAGGTTTAGCAGCTACGTCCCTTGGTAGGAAAAATTTTCAGTTGATATAAAACAAGTAAATGGGCCTGGGCTTTCAGGCATGCCTGATATGGATCTGACCCGACCCGAAATAATTTCTAAATAGCATGTAATATTTGATGTTTAGGTTTTTTGTGTTTTCTAGAAGCTGGAGTCCAATCAAATAACTCAATATTATTTTAAAAAATAAATATGCATTAGATTAATGAGTATGTGCCACTATTTAGTGAACATAATGATAAGTTAACAAATGAAGATGTATTAGACTAATCTATATCTATATCTATATCTATATATCTATATATTAATATAAAGGAGGGAATAAAAATATTTATGTGACACATCTCTTAGGCTTTAAAACGCATTTATCTTTACAGAGTTCGGTTACAATGATTGGATTAGAATTAGAATAGGCCGTGGTTAAACTTGAATTTTCTTTCAATTTTAGCACAACATTTTAGTTACAGTTCCACACTCCATTTAATTCTCATTTCCTATTCAAATTCCTTACCTATAGTTTCAGTTACAAATCAATCTTCTTTCATCCCTGACCCTATCCCCCTTTTTTGCTCATCTCCTTTCAAACAAATTCTTTCTCCCAAAATTTCTTCTTTGGCCATGGTAACCAGCTTTATGTTATTAAATTGACATTTCCATCTCTCTCTCATTGTTATCAATTTCAGTTTTATAATTCCGCTTTCTTGTGTCTGAATAATTACTCGGATCACTAAAAATAAAAAAGTTTAGGACGGTTCTTCAACAATCTATTTTTTCTTTGAGGTCAATAATTCTCTTTATGAAGTTAAAATTTCTATTAATGCTTTAATTTACTAATTTTGAAGATTTCATTAGCTTTGATAGTTGGCTTGATTACTTTTGGAATATATGAAATATATTTACGGAGAAATACTTTATGAGAATTTGATTATTTGTTAGTAGTTTTATTAAAGTTTGCTTTTATTTTAGAGCAAGAATACAAGATATTTCATCGGTATTTTAGTTTATTTACAGTAATTGTGCCTATCTCCATTAATAGTTTGTCATTATTGTAATTTTTTTAATGATGTTTTAGCCGGTTATTTTTTAATTTATTTACATTCATCTTTTAATTAACGTTCTAACAGAAGGCCAAATAATTTTCTTGAAACCCTTCATGAAGATTGCGCATTTTTCTTACTCTTATTATCTTTTGGGTGTTCTAAATAAATTTTTGTTTAATTTTTGTTTGTAAATTGATTAATATCGAAAACAAAAACTTTTGGTTTCGTTTTTGACTTTTTGGTGTTGTGCCATCGTATCCACTTCTTTTTATTTCACTTAAAGTTATGTTTTGGTTAAACTTATTCGCTTAGTTAGTGAAAATTTTAGCTTACTAAAGTACCTTTATGTAGATGTTATACTATAAAAAAAGCTTAACGATATTCTAATTTCCGTGAAAACATCTAATTTAGTTATTTTAAGATTAAAGTATTAGAAATATATCATTTTATAAATTCAATTTCTGAAACTCTTAAATTAGTCTCATTATATTTTTATTCCTGACACCTTTTTATTTTCTAATCTGACAGCTTCTTCTCGAGGCTTTCAACTCTACCAAGACTAGATTTAGAACTTGAGTCCTTCACGAGGCTTTCAGCTCCAGTCCTCCATTTCTCATAGTAGTAATCCTTTTCACTCGGAAAATAATAGGGAAAGATTGATGTTCAAAATGCGGAGGTATTTTGCTTGGTTCCAATGTCACTTATGCAAAAACTAATTGACAAATATGATGTTTCTAGAAAACTTACTTTGAACTAAGAACTATTTTTCATAGTTTTTGTTAATGAGGTATATGCCATCTTTTGTAAGATTTTTAATATTCTTTGTGTTGTTTTCTAACTTTGTGAAATTTCTAGATGGTTGAGGAAATGCTATGATGCATTTGTGTGATATCTTATTAATTAATTAAGTGATTACTTCTATAACCAACATTCAAGAGATCGGCCTTTTACATGATTAATTTAGGGGAACACTTCATGATGATTTGATCGCACAATTAATTATAAAATCTCGGATCTCAATTGTTTAGGCCATTTAATTAAAATCTTGATCATATTATGTTCATGTATGAATCAAATTTAATGTATTTATTTAATTACTAATATGCATTAATAAAATTACTATTTTCTAAAGATGAGATTGTTAATAACATTTCTGAATAGCATTTAAGTAGGAATGAAGGGCGAGAAGACATACATTACATATTTTTCTCTACAAAATAAGTGTTAGATTCCCTTTCCAATATGCCATTTTATTTTATTCAAATTTATTTTTCTAATTCATATTTTTTGTATGTATTTTTTCCCTTTACATTTGTTTTGTTTATCTTATTTGCATGTTTGTCTAAGATGAAACCTTTTAAAAAAAATAGTTTGTGCTATAAATTGTTTATCTATTTTATATCAACTAAATTTACAAAATGATGTATTTTACCGCGCGAAGCGCGGATCAGTTAACTAGTGCGTAGTACCAGTCACTACAGGTCCAAAATACTATAAATGCTAAAGAATTATAAAGGAGTAGATAAATAAATTAATACCATGAGAGCAAATGAAATATTACATGGTTTTATATACAAAAACAAAGGGTGAAAATAGCTTATAATTAAAAGATCCAAAGAAAAACAAAACTGAGAGTAATAGATGTAGATTTTTCCTTTTTTGAAAATTCGACTGTCATCTATCCATTCTAAAACTCGCTTAATTCGGATTCGCATCGAAAATTCTTACTTTGGAGGTAAATAAAAAATAAAAAGGAGTTCAAATGACAAAAAAAGAAATGAAAAAGAACATTTACCATTCAAATTGAAAATGAAAATAAAAGAATATTAATACCACATATAATTCTATTCTCAAGACCATACCTGAAATCTTCAATTAATAATGAAATGATCAAAGTAGCATGAATATACATGCGTTTTACATTTTGGGAACATAAGTTTTTTTTTTTTTTTTTAGTACACCTTCCTTTGTAGCATTTGGACTAAAATTATTTTTGAAGTAAAATTCAAACACAATAACGGGTTACTCAAGTGTTAGTCAAGTGACAAGAGGGGGTTGCTTTGACGGTAAGTACCCCATCTGCAAGCTTAGGGTCGTGGGTTCGAGTCACCAATACAACAATAGGTCCAACAAAAGGGGGGTCAAAGGGGATAAAAGGGAGGGGACTCAGAAAAAAAAAATGTTGAGCCAAGTGGCTCTTAGAACGGGTAAGGGCAGGGGCGGACGCAGCCTTTCGGTTACAAGTTTATCCGAACCCATTATTTTTTTGACACGGAGTATATGTATATAAAAACATACTAAAATTTCAACAAAAATTAGATTTGAACCCATAATTTTAACAGTATAATTAATTATGCAAAGTTTAGTTCACTAAATTTTAATCTTGGATCTGCCTCAAAGATGGGGTAAAAAGAACCTTAGAATAATATAATTAGTTGATTTAAAATATAAAATTTTCTTAAAAAAAAAACCATATAGTTCAAACACAAAATTAAACTACTTTCCAACAAATAATTTTTCTTAGTATTTTTTGTCCACATAACCAATTTTTTTTGCTTTCAGGTTGTTTTTGGTTTGTATAAAAAAGAAATCCGCAATTACAAAATCCTTACTAATAGCCAAACACCTTTTACCGCCACCTTGACAGTCACTTTCTTAATCTCGCCGGAGAAAGGAAACTCCGATAATATGGGAAGCAGCAGCGGTAGCGACGTAGAAGCAGGATTCGCGAAGCTACAAGGAGAAGATTTCGAGTATTACATGCAAACGTACTCCATAATCCTCGGCCGGAACTCCAAAAAATCAACGGTCGACGTCGACTTATCATCTCTCGGCGGGGGGATGAACATCTCCCGTCACCACGCTCGCATTTTTTACGACTTCCAACGACGCCGTTTTAACCTCGAAGTATTAGGCAAAAACGGGTGCTTTGTCGAAGGTGTGCTTCACTTGCCCGGTAACCCGCCGATCAAATTAGATTCACAAGACTTACTTCAGATCGGAGATAAAGAGTTTTATTTCCTCCTTCCCGTTCGTAGTATCCTTGGTGGCGGGCCGCTTATTGGGCCTAAACAACACGTGAATTTGAATTCGAATTATCCAGTGGCGGCCCATTATGGTGGGGTAGGGAAAAAGGGGGGATTGTTTAGAGGGAGGGAGATGGAGTATTATGACGAGGAGGAATATGATGATGATGATGATGATGATGATGATGATGATGATGATGATACTGGAGGCAAGAAGATGAGGAGGGGTGATGGAGCTGAGGGTGGTGGTGGTTATGGGTATGGTTCTTGTGGTTCCAGTGGAAAAGCTTCAATTTCCGGGCAATTAGGTCAGTAAGTTTTATCTGTTTTATGGTATAGCAAGACCTCTCTATAAAGGCATTTCACTATAACAGACATAGATTTGTTTTATGGTATAGCAAGACCTCTCTATAAAGGCATTTCACTATAACAGACATAGATTTGTTTTATGGTATAGCAAGACCTCTCTATAAAGGCATTTCACTATAACAGACATAGATTTGTTTTATGGTATAGCAAGACCTCTCTATAAAGGCATTTCACTATAACAGACATAGATTTGTTTTATGGTATTTAATCTTGGTTAATCATGATTTTCTTCCTAGCACATGTTAGAGGGCATTAGTTCTTTTTCTGTTTAAAATTGCACTTGTACAACGGTACTTTGCATTTGGATTCCTGTATTTTAATTCAGCTCCATTAAATTGAATTCTATGTTAACTTCTGTTTGCGGGATGATAATTGAGAATTTTGAAGGATCTATTATGCTCGTGAATTGGTAAACAGTAAAAAAGTCATCTTTTTGTTAGTGTATTGAGATTTTGGTATTTGATTGAGCTATATTGATTTGAACTCTATGTTAACTTCTGTTTGTGGGTATGATAATTGAGGATTATGAAGGTTCTATTGTGCTCGTGAAGTACTAAGTTGTAAATGTTGAATTTAACAAGATTAATGCGAACTAGTGTGAACATTTGAAGCCTCCTTTTAGGAAGAAATTGGTAGATGCATTTTTCATGCATTTACATTGCATGTTCACACTTAATATGATGTCATGCATGACATTATTAAGGTCATTTCCCTTCTATAAATAGCAAGGGTTTTGTTCATTTGTAAACATCTCTCACTTGCCTTCTTATCTCCTAAGGCATTTGAATCTTCTTTCTCTCTTGTAGTATTTCACTTGTATTTTTGGAGTGAAATAAATTTGAGTTGATTGTGTCCGAGGACTAGGCAAAAATTAAATTTTGCCGGACCTCGTTAATTTCTGGTGTTCATTTTATTATTGTCTCATTTACTATTTATTAGCTACCTTTAAATATAGTAGTTGTGATTTAATCACTCTCTATATGTTCGGCTTCCACAACAATTGGTATCAGAGCCAAGGTTCTATCTTAGTATGCTCTGTGGTTGCAACATAGTCTGAACTTCCACATCAGAAAAGAATTACTTTGGTGTTCTGTACTGTCAGCAAATAAATAGTATCTGTAGCAAAAATGGGAGATAATAAAAATGAAGAGTCCACATCGGGTGTCAGTAATACGTCGTTGGCATCTTCGCCTATGACAAGAATTATGTCAAATGCGAAATTTGCAGTTGAAATTTTTGACGGGTCAAGACATTTTGGGATGTGGCAAGCTGAGGTTCTTGATGTCTTTTTTCAACAAGGACTAGATATTGCCATAGAAGAAAATAAACCAGACAATATCGGAGAAAGAGATTGGAAGATTATCAACCGCGTTGCTTGTGGTACCATTCGATCTTACCTCGCAAGAGAACAGAAGTATCCATACACAAAAGAAACTTCTGCAAGTAAATTGTGGAATGCGTTGGAGGATAAATTCTTGAAGAAAAACAGTCAAAATAAACTTTACATGAAAAAAAGACTGTTACGCTTCACATATGTTCCTGGTACTACAATGAATGATCATATCACCAGCTTTAATAAGTTGGCGACAGATTTACAGAATATGGACGTGACTTTTAGTGATGGAGATATGGCCTTAATGTTATTAAGTTCACTTACCGATGAGTACGAGCACCTCGAAACTACTCTACTTCATGGGAATGATGAAGTGTCTCTCAAAGAAGTTTGTTCTGCCTTGTACAGCTATGAACAAAGAAAGAGAGAAAAACAAAAGAGTGGAGAAGGAGAAGCACTGGTCGTGAGAGGTCGTTCTCAAAATCATATGAGAACGAAGAAAGGAAGATCCAAGTCAAGATCCAGACCCACCAAAGATGAATGTGCCTTTTGCCGAGAAAAGGGGCACTGGAAGAAAGACTGTCCAAAGTTGAAAAACAAGGCCAAACCTAACAATGGGAAGGCTGTCATGGATTCAAATGTAGCTGATTGTGACGACTCTGATTTCTCACTAGTTACAACTGAGCCATTCAAACCATCTGACATATGGCTGATGGATTCAACTTGTAGCTATCATATGTGTCCCAACAAGGACTGGTTCATTGATTTTCAAGAAGGGGAATGTGGAGTTATTCACACCGCGAATAACAATTCTCTTACCGCATATGGTATTGGTTCAATCCGATTAAGGAACCATGATGGATTGATCAAAACATTAACAGATGTTCGATACGTACCGGAATTGAAGAAAAATCTCATTTCTGTAGGAGCCCTAGAGTCAAAGGGGCTCAAAGTCGTTGCAGAAAATTGGATAATGAGAATATGCTCCGGTGCACTAGTGATAATGAAGGGAATTCGGCGAAATAATAACATGTACCACTATCACGGTAGTACACTTATTGGGACAGTAACAATGACATCCAGTGATGACAAGGAGGCAGAAGCAACCAAGTTATGACACATGCGCTTGGGACATGCTGGAGGAAAATCCTTGAAGATTTTATCAGATCAAGAATTGTTAAAAAGAGTAAAAACTTGCAATTTGGAGTTTTGTGAGCATTGTGTCAAGGGAAAATATACAAAGGTTAAATTTGGAACAGCTATCCATAATACTAAAGGTATTTTGGATTATGTTCACTCTGATGTTTGTGGTGCTTCCAAAACACCTTCATTAGGTGGGAAACACTATTTTGTAACCTTTATTGATGACTTTTCCAGAAGAGTGTGGGTGTATACTATGAAAACCAAAGATGAGGTACTGAGAATTTTTCTCAAATGGAAGGCGATGATAGAGACTCAAACAAGCAGAAAGATAAAGTGTCTCCGTATATAACGGTGGAGAATACAAAAATGATCTTTACAATAAGATTTGTGAAGATGATGGCATTTTGAGACATTTCACCGTCAGAAATACACCACAACAGAATGGAGTGGCAGAACGCATGAACCGGACTTTGCTGGAGAAGGTTCGATGTATGTTGTCCAATGCTGGCTTGGGCAAAGAATTTTGGGTTGAGGCAATAACATATGCATGCCACCTCATTAATCGTCTACCATTTGCCGCTATTGGTGGCAAGACGTCATTTGAAAAATGGTATGGAAAACCTGCTGAAGATTATAATTTTTTACATGTGTTTGGCTCAATTGCATACTATCATGTGAAAGAGTCAAAATTGGATCCGAGAGCAAAGAAAACTATATTTATGGGGATTACTTATGGAGTCAAAGGATACCGATTATGGTGCCTAGAGACAGGAAAAATTATATTCAGCAGAGATGTTACCTTTGATGAATCTGCCATAACAGATAAGGTGATAGTTGAAGATGTCAAACAAACTGATGGTGCTTCAAAGCAGGTGGAGTTTGAGGGAAAATTAATTTTCCCAACACAGGGAGAAAACGAGGAAACGATAGAAGATTTTCCCCTGGAAGAAGAGTCAGTGGAAGGGGAGATTCCAACTCAAGAACCCCAACAACAACTTGCATCAATAGCAACCAACAAGTCAAAAAGAACAATAAAGAAACTGTTCGTCTCATAGAGATGGTGGCTTGTGCAACCTCAATTGTAGCTGATGGTGTTCCTACCACTTACAAAAACGCAGTCTAAAGTTCAGAAGAAGATAAGTGCAGGATTTCCATGAATGAAGAAATACAGTCCCTTCATCAGAATTGCAGATGGAAATTGGCCAATCTCCCGAAGGGCAAGAAAGCAATTGGGTGCAAATGAGTATTTGCAAAGAAAGAAGGATTTTCTAACCAAGAAGATGTTCGCTACAAAGCAAGATTGGTGGTCAAAGGGTACGCTCAAAAGGAGGGAATTGATTACAATGAGGTGTTTTCTCCAGTCGTGAAACACTCCTCCATTAGAGTTTTGTTGGCTCTGGTAGCACAGTTGAATTTGGAACTAGTTCAGTTAGATGTAAAAACTGCATTTTTACATGGAGACTTGGAAGAGGAAATCTATATGACTCAGCCAGAAGGATTCAAAGTTGCCGAAAAGGAAAATATGGTGTGCAAGCTTGAAAAATTGTTGTACGGATTGAAACAATCTTCTAGACAATGGTACAAACGATTTGATAAGTTTATGTTGCGGCAGAAGTACAGAAGAAGCAAATACGATCATTGTGTGTATTTGCACAAGCTTGAAGATGGATCCTTCATATATCTTCTCCTATACGTTGATGATATGTTGATAGCTTCCAAAAGTCTAGAGGAAATTGAGAAGTTAAAGATTCAACTAAGAAAGGAGTTTGAGATGATGGATTTGGGTGAGGCGAAGAAAATTCTTGGCATGGAGATAAAAGAGATAGACATTCAAAGAAACTCTATCTATCTCAGAAAGAATACTTGAAGAAAGTAATAGATCGATTTGGCATGANAACAATCCTGCCGATATGCTAACAAAAGTAGTGACTGCGATCAAGTTTCAACATTGTTGAACTTTGAAGANAAACACGAAGTCGGTTAGCACTCCTCTTGCTCCTCACTTTAAGCTTAGTGCTGCTATGTCGCCGAATAATGAAGCTGAACGAGAGTATATGTCAAGAGTGCCATATGCGAATGCCGTTGGTAGCTTGATGTATGCAATGGTTTGCACAAGACCTGATATTTCACATGCTATCGGAGTTGTAAGCANTTTGTGGGTATGATAATTGAGGATTATGAAGGTTCTATTGTGCTCGTGAAGTACTAAGTTGTAAATGTTGAATTTAACAAGATTAATGCGAACTAGTGTGAACATTTGAAGCCTCCTTTTAGGAAGAAATTGGTAGATGCATTTTTCATGCATTTACATTGCATGTTCACACTTAATATGATGTCATGCATGACATTATTAAGGTCATTTCCCTTCTATAAATAGCAAGGGTTTTGTTCATTTGTAAACATCTCTCACTTGCCTTCTTATCTCCTAAGGCATTTGAATCTTCTTTCTCTCTTGTAGTATTTCACTTGTATTTTTGGAGTGAAATAAATTTGAGTTGATTGTGTCCGAGGACTAGGCAAAAATCAAATTTTGCCGAACCTCGTTAATTTCTGGTGTTCATTTTATTATTGTCTCATTTACTATTTATTAGCTACCTTTAAATATATTAGTTGTGATTTATTCACTCTCTATATATTCGGCTTCCGCAACAGTAAAAAGGTCATCCTTTGTTTAGTGTAAGGAGTTATTGACATTTCCATTGTGGAATACAGGTGTTTCCCTAAACAACTTTGTGCATAAAGGTGCTTTTGCTCTGTTGAATTACTTTTTTGTCAATGACTGCAAGTGTAGAAGATTTTGATTTATTTTCCTTTTACACCATTCTGACCAGAGTTCGTTCCTTAAACAGCAATGGTTTAATTCCATGGCTTTAGCTCCTGCGGATAGATGCTTAAAGTATGTACGGATTAAGATTCTGTTGTGGACTCTTTTTACAGCACCTCGAGAAGCATAAAAAGATTCAGCTTATGCTTTCGACAGGTTTTCTGCTTGAATTAGTATTCAAAAACTGCTGCCCTGTGAAATCTACAAGTTATTTATTCGACCTTTCCATAAATTCGTTCATGAAATTACTTAAGCATAAAAGTGGTTTGCTAATATGGAAGCACCTCAATAGCCTCTACGGCCTACACGCATGGATTTTTTGATGCATAATCCACCTGGAATTTGCAAATCCACTGTCTCTTATAATCTTCAAGCTTCAGGGATAGAAACTTCATTGTGGATCATGTAACAGTAATTCATTTTTTTCTTTTGCTTTCTATTTCCAATACCCCCTCTGGTGATTGGTTTTCGTTTAGTGTTATTGTCTTGGACTCATTGGCTGTTTTGATTGTCCTAGACATATAATTTGTCTTGCATCATTGGCTGTTTTAACTTGGGACTGAGGCATAGTCGTTTGATTGACAGTTATTCGCCATTCTGAGGTGTTTAAAGCATTGCTTGAACCCTACATATGCAATGTGAATGATATCTGCTGCAGATTAGTAAATTATTCTTAAACATGGCTCTGACTTGTATGTTCTAATGATGTCAGTAGGAAAAACAACAGAAGTCTTAAAAAACTTTTTGTGATATTTAAGAATCATTATACATATATTTAGGACGTGATATGAATACAAGATTTCATTTTTCTCCCCTTGTATCCTATACATTTGGATTCCAGTGCCGCATTAGTCTTGCTTATATGATTTACAAACTTTAATTGACAAGCATATATACTCAAAATCTGTTGGAACTTGATATCTGAAGTGTGGAAGTTATTTGGCTGAAAACATGCTGCAGATAAGAAGACAGATGGAAGATTACGTGTTGACAGAGATGCTGACAATCAGCAGCTCATGCAGTTAGAAGAAAAGGATGTTGTGTCATCTGTAGCTAATGTGCTTTCTGATCTCTGTGGTCCAGGAGAATGGATGCCAATGGAGAAGCTTCATGCTGAGGTAACTTTTGAAGCTATTTATCATATTATACAGAGCCCAAAATTTTATTTGTCAAACAAATAGTAAATTGTTTGTTTACTTAACAAGCGAAAGAGGGAAAAGCTTTTGCCAATTTATTTCTCCCCTCATTCTTTTCGCCCTGAATTCTCAGAACGTGAAGTTAAATTTAGGTCAATCAAGTCATGTCAAAGCAGGAGTGCCCGCTTTCGTCCTTTGTGAGCGTCTTTTGCCCCTACTTACAATTTCTGCGCGTAGAGTGGAACTTTCATTTTACATTCTCTGTTGTTTTTGCCAAATGCTGGAATAGCAGTATGAGTGTTTATCTTCCTTGTCTTGATATTTTGGGCATATAGAGTACTGGTTTAAGTGTGTTAGGTGTTTTGTCTTGCCATGAAGTTATCTCAGGGTTGTAAATTTTTACAGTACTCCTTAATGTTCATCTAATAGTGGTGGATATTTATCAGATACACTCAAACTTTTGGCTCAATCTTTTGTGACTTCACAAGGCTTAACTCTGTCATTTAATGATATTTCCTAACACCAATGCCTTTTAGTGGTGAAATTTTTTAAAAGAGAGCTTCTCCTGCTTGGTAAGGCTATGAAATTGTCCAGCTTCAAATTTGATGGAAATAAGCTGTACGCTTTCCTACTTCTCTCATATCTAGTCCTTTCCTTTTCGCCCCGCTCCATATTTTCCCTTCTTTTTTTGGTTTTGGAAGGGTGGGCCGGTTTTGTGTGTTTGCTCAGAGGACGAGGAAGGGTACATATGCCCTGGTTGACTTTTTCTCATCATCCTCTTGATACTCAAGTGGCTTCTTCTTTCATTATCTTTTCTATTAATTTGCTATTTCTTTCATTATCTTTTCTGTTTTCTCTCTGCTGCTCCCTGATCACCTCTCTCCTAAATATCACTGGCCTTAACAGTAAGAATTAATCTGACATTAATTTATCCAATAGAAAATAGAGATTCATATATTACACTATTTAAGAGATTTGACATCTTTTAGGTACCCGTAGGTAAGGTTTCAGTTTTCTTTAATTAGTTCTTCAGAATACCTATAGAACAGATCTTATACACACAGCTCTTGTGAGTAAACTGCTGATTCTGAACCCTTTTTTTTGTTTTTGTTTTGGGCGAGGTTTTATGTCGCGCGCACACTGCAGGCCAGTTTAAACAAGAGATCTTTTTCAGCTATCAATTGGAAAAAAGAAGAAATTTGTGGTTATATGCTTTCCTTCTTGTTTTATGCTAGTTCTTTATCTAATATTGAAGAAATTTGTAGTTCTTCATGTGAAGTGGTGGTTCTCAAGCGCAAATCTAATATTGACAGTCCTGTCTCATCTAAAATGGATTGGATCCAAAACGATACCGATTTATCTTAACTTTAGTATATGAGATACCATTACTGCTTAGTTTCTCATTGTAGTAGTTGGATAATTCCTTCCCCGTTTCTGAGTCATAGGTAGTAGAATTTATCTGTGTTTTGTTAGAGAATTGGACTTTTTGTTGATAGCCAGCTTCTGTATGTACAGTTGGTTGAACACTATGGCAATACGTGGCACCATAGTCGTGTGAGGAGATATCTGACATCAGAGGACTATCCCAGCCCAGAAGCCAAAACAAAGCCATGGTATGGATTGTTGATGCTGTTAAGGAAATATCCGGAGCATTTTGTCATCAATACGCGGTCTAAGGGACGGGTAACTTTGGAGTTTGTTTCTCTTGTCTCACTGCTTTCTTGAGAACAGGTAACAATTTTTAGCCGTGTAGTTGTAATTGAGCTTCAAGTCTATAGTTTGAAACTTGTGGCTTGAAACATTTTCCATTTAGCATCTTTTGTCTGGATTTGAACTCTGGTCTTCCATTGTCCATTCCAGCTTTTAGTCACACGCTCGAGTGCTCAAACGGTAATGATATGTACTTCCTTTAGGTCTCAAATATCTACCTTTTCCAGCCCATTTTGTGGTTGTGTTAACTTGAAAAATCAACAATGTCTACTTTACAAGATGAAATTATCTTCAAAATATCTCAATAACTTTTTCACTTTCTATGCTTATTCAAAACTCGCAATTGTTACTGTGTTTCTTTTCATTTTTCATTGAGCCGAGGGTCTTCGGAGATAGTCTCTCTACCTCCACGAGGTAGGGGTAAGGTTTGCATACACAATACCGTCCCTAGACACAATTTGTGAGATTTCACTCGGTATGTTGTTGTTGTATGCTTATTCAAAACAATACCGAACAATTGAAGGATATATTTATTACTAATAAGTATTAGTTTGAGCTGTATTTGCGTGGACTTGTACAAGTTCCTTGTTTTCAATGCAAGTCGTTGTAAAATAGTACATATTTTATTACTACTTTTTATTGTTGTTTCAGTATGCAAATGTAGAAACATTGTCATTAAGAATTCAACAGTAATTGTTGTCTTGTTTCACTCTGCAAATAATGGAATATTAAAAAGGCCAGTATTGGCTATAATTAATTTTGATTCGGAAAATCGCGTCAATTCACATTTCACACAACTCCAGTTTCTTGCTATTCAATACGGTGTTTAAGTAATGCAAAAAATAACATTATCTGACAACAAAAAAAAGTTAAAGAATTTGCCACTTGTACTCTGGTAGCACATTGTACAAACAAGTTAAGGAGGGTACAATAGGGGTTAAGAGCAGGAATTCTGCCATAGCAGAAGCAGTAATCCATAGTGTTTAGTGTAATGTTTATTACAGCGAAACGATGTAATGGGATGATTGGAATTACTTAACACTTAACTAGAGATATGGAGTTCGAGCTTAAAGAATAGAGAATCTTTTGATGGAAAATAGTTTTCTCCAGATATATCGGAACAATGATCTTCAAATTACAAATATTAGCCAAAATATAATATTTATTGGAAGTAGATGGGTACAAAGTTTTGAGCAATAGACCTGGCATGTGGTAACTACAAGCAAAAAAAAAAATTCTATATTATACTAGTTATATTAGTACTAATTAATTAGTGACAACTAAGAAGAAATTAACAAATAAATAGGAAAAATGACACTATATAGCCACTCTCAAAATAATAGTAAAAAAAAAATATTTTTTGTATATATATACATTTTGTATGTTATTCAAAAATTATATAAATTTTATACACTTTTTCGGCTAACAAATGTAAGTTTCTGATGCAGGCTAAAAGTGAAAAAACCCCAAATAAATATCGGGGTGTTGTTGAGTATTCTGAGTTAACTTGGCCCATATGGTCTCAACTGTCGGCCCATTACCCCACTCAATATAAAGCTTTGAACAAAAACCCAAATGGTCGATTTTCTCTCGAAAAGGTTTTAGAAAAGCTGAGCTTGAGCAAACAGGAGATTAGGGTTTTGTATACTCCATCATTTGCCTCTGACCTACGACGATGATTTATGACGTGAATTCTCCGCTTTTCCGTTCCTTTCTCAGCCAGAAAGGAGGCGCCTCCGACAAAAGGTACATTTTAATTTTCTCGTTAACCTTAAATTCATCGCCGCGCAATGTTTTATGCCTTTTGTTTGCGTTTGTCTAAAATGGAAGACTGCTAGCACAAATGATTTCATGCCAGTTCCTTCTGTTTGTTTCTTCTTCGGTGTGCTATGTGCAAACTTTGCATAAATTTTATACTCCATATAAATATCTCAATTAGCTCAGCTCTGTTGTATGGCAGTGATGAGTTGTTTTAAGTGTTTAACCAGTAGAAAATGTGCTAGCTAGGCAATTTTGTGAATGTTTTCGTATTCACAACAATAGGATGCAGTGAACATTATTTTCGTATTCACAAATATTCAGTGGAGAAACATGTTTGATAATGGCTTATTTTACGGCCTACCTCAGTAGGTGTTTATGTTCTTAAGCAGCTGAAGCAATCTCAGCCGAAATGATGAGAGATGTTCCTATAAAATTTCATGTACCTGATGTCGTAGAATCTCATGATGTCTAGTACGATACATCTATCTCAGTTAGCTCTGATCTATTGTATGGCAGTGATGAGTTATTAAGTGTTTGGCCAGTAGAAAGTATGTTTGACAGGAAATTGTGTGAATGTTTTTTCATATTCACAACTATACGATACCCTGAATATTATTTTCATGCTTTGTCAATGTACTTCCTTGAAACTGCTAAGTGTTTGTAAGACTGAAATTTTGATTCAGCCTCAGAAATAAAGCGATGAGAAAACATGTTTGATTATGGCTTATTCGCGGCCTATTCAGTAGGTATTTAATGTTCTTAAGAAGCTGTCAATCAAGATGATGAGAGGTTTTCTTACTAAATGTCATTTATTTGAACACAAAGCATCTCATGATTGGTTTTAACATGATTTTGGATCTAATGTTGATCTGTAAATATTATTGTTAGGCGAGCTGCTGCTTGTGGCAAGTCAGTTCCTCAATTATTAAGACATCAGATAGTGTCTAAGATGGCATATAGTGCTTCTCATGGGTTTAAGTGCAGTGAAAGAATATAGAAGCTTTCGTAAATGGTCTTTTCTTGTCTTTAGGGATATAAAGAATGGTCTTTTCTTTTCTGAATGTTCTCGTTACTCAAGCTGCTGCTTGTGGCAAGTCAGCTCTTCAATCATTAAAACATTCAGATGAAGTGTCTCAGATGGTTTATAGTGCTTTTTAATGGGCTTTACGTGCAACAAAAGAATTATTGAGAAATTTCCTTAATGGTTTTTTCCTTTCCTAATGTTCTTGTTAGTCAAGCTGCTTCTTGTGGAGCTCTTCAATTATCAAAACCATTAGAGAATCTCGAAGATTGCTTGTTGAGCTCGTTAATGAGTTTTAAGTGCAACAAGAGAATTGTTGAGGCCTTTCATAAGTGGCTCTTTGTTTGGTGCTCCATCTCCTATCTTTATCTAATGTAGTTTTCATGTCAACTTGGTGTGGTTCTGTCCCTCACCCCAAACAGGGGGAGATCCCTTCTTTGGCACGTTGTCATAGTCAAGGCCATTTCACTTGGTTGCAATTTTGCATNAAACCTTCATCTTTTAGGCTCTTCTTGTTATTTCCTTATGTCTTTTCGTCATGTTCACTCTGGTCTCTCCGTGGTGGATACTCTGATGTGTCTGCACATTTTCATGCTAACTGCATGTTGATCGTGATATAACCGCAGCGCCTCTAATACTTTGTCTAATTGTCCAGGAAAACTGAAGAGCAGAGGCCCAAGGAACAGAGGCCAAAAGCAAGTGATAACAAGCCTGTTATGAATGAGTGAGAGCTGCCAGATGTGAACTTATTTTAGATAATTTGAAATGTTGTTAAGCAACTCTTTTAAAGATGTTGAGCACGCAATTGTCATTTGAATAGATCTATCTCTTTAAGTTTTTTTGATCATTTACTTCTATTGGTCTTAATCTATACAAGCTTTTAAATATGCTGCCTTTGCGTTTTCTTTACTTTTTTTTTCAAGGGTTTCCTCTTCCTCTCAATTTCTCCGTGGCATCGTCATCATCAGCAACAGCTGAGCAGTATATTCTGATCTTGAAATCATCCAACAGTGATGAATTTGAGATGAAAGAATCTATCGCCGTTCAATCTGTAACCATCAAAAACATGGTGGAAGATGGTTACAGCATAATCCCACTCCTAAATGTCAATACCCGAATCCTAACCAAAATTATCGAGTACATGAAGAAGCACGCTGATGACAAGATGAATCTGAACAAAGATATCGAAATATTTCAGAAGATGGATCTGAGTGAAAAAGATATAAAAAACTCAGTAGATATCTGTCACGACCTAGAATTCTTACCGTCGGGACTGTGATGACGTCTAACATTTCATTTGCTAGCCAAGCCAACGATAGAGATTATTAAGCCAAATTCTTATACATTTCAATAATTAACAGTAAATAAGCTATAACAAGGTAAAAAGAAAAGCGCGAAAATCCATAACAACTTTAATGCTTATACACAACTACTCAGAAACTGGTGTCACAATCCACGAACTACTAAGATTTAGTTACAAGTAAGGTGTCCGAAGGAAATACAATTGATTTCGATACAAATGAAACAATAAAGGAAATGCATAGAAGGGGACGTCAGGGCCTGCGGACGCCAACATGACTACCTTGGGTCTCAAAACAGATCAATCCAGCAACTAAACTCAGGGTCAACTCGGTCCGGTACCAAAATCTGCACAGAAAGTGCAGAGTGCAGTATCAGTACAACCGACCCCATGTACTGGTAAGTGTCGAGTCTAACCTCGACGAAGTAGTGACGAGGCTAGGACAAGACACTTACATATAAACATGTGCAATATATACAATAAAAACTACTAAAGAAGCAAGGCAAGAAATAGTGGGAAGGGGACATGGTGAGGGAATTACATGGCAAGGAATCACAACAAGAATGAGGATATGATCAATCGATATATCTTTAACAAAAAGAAACAAGTAAACACAGTAAAGGAAAGTGCACGACATCACCATTCATGCTTTTACTCTCAACCTCACCATAAGAAACAATAGAAACGGCACGGCATCACCCGTCGTGCATTAACTCTCTCTCATAACATGGCACGACATCACCCTTCGTACATTATCACTCACTCACGAAACGTTGCACGACATCACCCTTCGTGTTTTAACACTCTCCCTCACCAAGATAATGAACAATAACAACATGGAGATAGAAATATCAAGAACCAGTCTTACTTTAACATTCAATTCCACGTTACTAACCTCAACTTTGAGTCAATACCCAATCAATACCAATTTCCGTGAAACATAATAAGAGTTGTTCTATATAACGAATAGCTAGTCTAATCATGAACAATATGATCAAGGAATACCACGATTACAATAATAAGACTCACTCGCATGTTATGACTCAACAACAATGCATAGGTACTCGTCACCTCACCTATACGTTGTACTCAACATACAAACACGTAGCAAATAAGCGATTAATGCCTAATCCCTCAAACCAAGGTTAACTACGACACTTACCTCGTTCCGAAGGCCACTCAATACTTAATCACAAGTTTTCCTCTAGAATCCACCTCCAAACCACTCGTATCTATTAAAAATGACTCAATACTATCAATTATTGCTAAATGAATCAATTACATTGCATAGATTTAGATTTTCCAAACTTTTCCCCAAAAAGTCAAAAATCGACCCCGGGCCTGCTTGGTCAAGACCCGAGGTTCGAACCAAAATTCATTTACCCATTCACCCCCGAGCCCGAATATGTAATTAGTTTTGAAATCCGACCTCAATTTGAGGTCTAAATCCCAATTTCCCCAAAATCTCTAATTCTACCCAAACCTCCTATTTCTACCATGGAAATCCTAGATTTTAGGTTGGAAATTCATGAAATGTAATGGGTAATTGAAAGAAAATGGTTTAGAATCACTTACCAACACTTTGGGGAAGAATTTAGCTTGGGAGAATCGTCCCTAGACCGTTTGGCTTTTGAAAAGGTGAAAGAATGGCTTAAGTCCCGTAATGGGACTGTTTAATAACCGGGCGACAATGTTCATCACGCTCGCGAGGACACTGTCGCGTTCGCGAAGAGCAGAGCTTGCCAAGCTTACGCGATCGCGAAACTCTTATCGCGTTCGCGAAGGCTACGCCCCTGGCCTTCGCGTTCGTGAGTCCTTGCTCGCGTTCGCGATGAAGAGTGACTGACTCCCTCCCCTAGGTCCCAAACACTACGCGTTCGCGTTGAGCTGGTCGCGTTTGCGAAGAAGAAAAATTCAGCCATCCCAGTTTCTACTTCGCGTTCGCGAGAGTGCCTTCGCGAACGCGAAGAAGGAAACCAGAAGGCACGTGAAACTGCAGAAAATCAGATTTTTCTAAGTGCAAAACATCCCGAAGCCTATCCGAAACTCGCCCGAGCTCTCGGGGCTCCAAACCAAATATGCACGCAAGTCCTAAAATGTCATACGAACTCGCTCGCGCGATCAAATCGTCAAAATAACACCTACAACTACGAATTGAACACCAAATCAAATGAATTTTTCAAGAAAACTTTAAAACTTCTATTTTCACAACAGGACGTCCGAATCACGTCAAACCAACTCCGTTTCTCACCAAATTTCACAGACAAGTCTTAAATATTATAGTGGACCTGTACCGGGCTCCGGAACCAAAATACGGACCCGATATCAACAAGACCAAACATCAGTCAATTCTAAAAATCCTTAAACTTCCCAACTTTTAATTTTTCATCAAGATTCCATATCTCGAGTTAGGGACCTCGGAATTCGATTTCGGGCATACGCCCAGGTCCCAAATTACGATACGGACCTACCGGGACCGTCAAAATACGGATCCGGGTTTGTTTACTAAAAATATTGACCGAAGTCAACTTAAATTGATTTTTAAGGCAAAAATTCTCTTTTTATCAGTTTTTAACATATAAGCCTTCCGGAAGAACACTCGGGCTGCGCACGCAAATCGATGAAGGCTAAGATGAGGTTTTTGAGACCTTGAAATGCAACATTAGGTTCTAAAATATAAGATGACTTATCGGGTCATCACAATATCAAAAATTTCGATGAGGAATTCGTGAACACCATCTTCAAAAGCCTGTTTGAAGTTCTATTTGCTGCTAATTACCTTAACATTAAGGGCTTGTTTGAGTTTTTATGTCAGACGAATCTGTTGATTGGTTTGTGTTTGTGATCTTTAGGGGTTGTAATTAGTTTCTGGAAACTGATACCTGTTATAAGGGCTTCAGGAATAACATGAGGAGAAGACATGTTTGATTATGGCTTGCTCTACAGCATAACTCAGTAGGTATTAATGTTCTTTAGAAGCTGAAGCAATCTCAATCGAGATGACGAGAGATTTTCCTTCTGAATGTCGTGTAACAAAACATTCAGATAGAAATGTCTAAGTGGTTTAGAGTGCATGTTATTGGGTTTGAAGTGCAACAAGAGAGAACTATTGAGAACATTCCTCAAAGGTTTGTTCTTGTGAAAATAGCACGGGATAGTCAGTTTTCGGATTGGTAATTGAAAAATAGTCAGAGTCTGCAAAGTCATTGATAAATTGCCATTGTTTTACTAAAATACGGAAAGTTCTAATATAATATGCTGGATTATGGAGCTCATGCTTATAAACTTACAGCATATTATGTTGGAACTCCAACACACGGAAAGTTCCAGCATAATATGCTAGATTATGGAGGTCATGTGTATAAATTTCTAGCATATTATGTTGGAACTCCAACACACGGAAAGTTCCAGCATAATATGCTAGATTATGGAGGTCATGTGTATAAATTTCTAGCATATTATGTTGGAACTCCAACACACGGAAAGTTCCAGCATAATATGCGGGATTATGGAGGTCCTGTGTATAAACTTCCAGCATATTATGTTGGAACTCCAACACACGGAAAGTTCCAGCATAATATGCGGGATTATGGAGGTCCTGTGTATAAACTTCCAGCATATTATGTTGGAACTCCAACACATTATGAAATTCCAACACATTATGCTGGAATCTCATATGTAAAAAATTCGAACTATAGCATATTATGCTGGAATTTTTCCGAAATATTAATATTGGTTTTGTTCAGAATTTATCTTTACGAAAGTTACTAAATTTTGATTACTTTTCAAAGTGTGGTTATTTTTCAATTACCGGTTGTAAATCCGACTATTTCTGATTTTTTCCCTTTTTTCTTTCCAAATGTTCTTTGCTATCCAGCTGCTGCTTGTTTGGCAAGTCTGCTCTTCATATCAGAAACATCAAAGATGTTGATCGCGTTCTGCATTTGACATTTGAATATATCATCAGATTATAACCGGAGAGAATTTACATCAAATTTTCACCTAATTAAGAGGAGTAATAAAGTGACAATCATAAAGATTCCAACCAGGGTTAGGTAAGTTTCGACAAAAATAGCAAATTTTGTGGTGGGTAGAAGAGTTAAAATTCCTAAGGAAAATGAGGATGCCTTCAATTGTTAGTACGTGACTTTTGTTATTTTTCTAAGGTACCTTTTCTTTATTTTATTTTGCACATAGTTTATAGGGAACGAGGAAGATTCAACTGAACAATGATGATTGGGTTTTTTGGTTTTTTTGGAGACATTTGATAGTTAATCATTCTCCCTTATTTCATCATACTATTAGGTTATTCGGAAAATAATACTTGCAAGATATGCAAAAGCTGGTATTCTCTACAATATGTTAAAGAAAAAATGACAGTTAGTATAATATTTTGTGTTAGCGTATATGAGTTAGTTTCTCTTAAAGTTTGACATGATTCCACTATTAATGCAGTTTTACTAATTATAGTTTATTATTTATTACCTCCTTTTCAATTTATGTAGTTTCTAAATATGTAAATTTTATTTTTAAAAAAACTTAAAAATTCTATATCCACATTTATAGTTAAAATTAAGAAATTTAG